TTAATCAGTTTGTGGATCAGGGTCAAGTGTCAAGTTTCGTTATTTATTCAAAAATTAGGTGGATAAATGCTCACCTAAGGAGTGCTCCTAAAATCTAGGAAGCCTACACTGAAAAATAGGTGGATGAACTCTCACCTAGGGTGTGCTCCTAAAATCGAGGAAGCCTATACTGAAAAATAGGTAGATGGGTTCTCACCTAAGGTGTGTTCCTAAAATCTAGGAAGCCTACACTGAGAATTAGGTAGATGAGCTCTCACCTAGGGTGTGCTCCTAAAATCTAGGAGGTCTGCACTGAGACTTAGGTAGATGGGCTCTCACCTAGGGCGTGCTCCTAAAATCTAGGAATCCTACACTTTAACTTGTGTTTAAAGTGATTTAAAGTGTTCTACCCTCAATTAAGTGTTTTTCAACTAATCCTCAAATATTTCTAAGTGTATTCCCAGTAATTAAATCAGGATTTCCCATTTTTTGATTTAACCATGTAAAAATAAATAAAACAAAAGGAGGCTGACACACTTCCAAAACTAGTAAAGCCGAAGAGGGAAAAAAAAAGATAGGTGGGTCGGCCTAAAAGCGTTTAAATGATAATCAAGTGAAACCCAAAACAGTAAATAAAGCTCCCCAAATTCAGCCCCAAAACAATAGACAAAGCTCTCTAAATCCAGTCCCAAAACAGTAAATAAATTTCTCCAACTCCAGCCCCAAAACAGTAAATAGAGCTATCAAAATCAGCCCACAAAAAAAAGTAAATAGAGCTATCAAATTCCAGCCCCAAAACAGTGGGCAAAACTCTCAAAATCAGCCCCGAAACAATGCTAAAATGGTGCCCAAACGGTGTCAAATTCATGCCAAAATTAGCCCACAAAATGCCCCAAACAACACTTAACTATGTTCCAAATAATACCAAATAGCTATCACAACACTCCAAAAGCTCTCACAACATTTTTAACACCTCCAAACAGTAATTTATATCACTTGTAAGCTACCTACAGCAGTCCAAACCATAATTTCAGCATCCAAAACAACTCTCACAACTCTCCAAAAGATTTCATAGCACTCTAAGAGCTCTCATAGCATTTTTAACAACTCCAAATAGTAATTTACAGCACTTGGAAGCTACCTACAGCAATCGGCGACTCCAAACAATAACTTGGACATTTTCTACAGCCTCCTACAGCGATTGGCAACTCCAAACAACAACTTGGACATTTCCTACAGCCTCCTACAGTGATCGACAACTCTAAACAGCAACTTATACACTTCCTATAGCTTCCTACAGCGATCAACAACCTAAAACAACACTTATACTACCATTTCTCAGCCCAAAAACCACTAAACAACAGCCTACATCACTTGTAAGCTTTCAAACAACACTTCCTAGCACTATCCAAGCTCAAAACAGCATTTTTAACTCCTCAAACACTAATTCGCAACGTTACACAGAACTTAATTAACTCATAAAACATATTTTAGAAGCTCCAAAACAGTGAGGAATTTGAGCATAAATCAGCCCCCCAAAACCCCTCCAAAACAGCGAATAAAGCAGTCCCAAATGATATTTTTACCTTTCTTATAATAGCAAGTAACCAGCCCATGAAATCAACATTTAAATCAACCCTCGGAATAGCGTTTTATCAAGCATAAAAAAAAACAGTAGTTAAGTCATCTCCAAATCAACAATAATACACGACAAAAAGCTGCTCTTAAAACCTTCAAAATCATAACGTATCAAGCCAAAACAACATCGGGGTTGAACCACAACAACAAGGCTAGGAAGCTAAGATAACTCTTCAACTAAGCATAAATGCGCAATAGACATTGAGGGGAGAGTATAAGAGAAATTAACAGGTCAAAACTGTGGCATGCCAAAAATATGAATTTTTCTTAACCATCATCACATGATGCTTTGTCTCATGGAGTAAAACAAACTTCCAAGTGCAATTTTACAGAAATTGGTTACATTGATTTTCTAGAAATCCATATAGAAGCAAAACAGGCGAGGAGATCATCAGAACAACAGCTTGATAGACATTAATGAGAGCATGCAAATGGGTAAATGAGATGAGGGGTTTAGGGGTAGAATCGGACCTTTCAGTGAGAACAATGACTAAACAAAGAAAAAGAAGGAAGAAATGCAGGAATTTAATTCTGTTCACCTCAATCTCGTCACTGCCGGCAACTGCGATTTAAAGCCGAGCGGGAGAAAGACTTTAGTGCAGGGTTTCTATCGGGAGAAAGGGGGAGGCGCAATTTTCAGTGCAAGGGAAGAGGGGGTCGATCGCACGCGAGCAGGAAGTCTGGAGGCGGGATCGGCGAGCGGAGGAGGGAGGCGAGCGAGTCTCGGTCGCGGAAGTGTAGACGAGCCGAACAGCTGGGAATCGAGAGGGAGTGAGCGGGAGAGGCGCTTCGATCGCGAGCGGGAGAGGGGCTTCTTTGGTTGAGCAGAGGAGCAGGGCGCAGGCTTCGGAACAATGAGGAGAAGTCAGTCGAGTGAGGGAGGCGAGCAGGAGTTACTATTGGTGGAGGGAGTCGAGCGAGGGTTTCTGGAGCTTCGATCGGTGGAGGAAGAGGCGCGCAGGAGCTTCGATCAGGAGAAGGAGGAGCGGCTTGGTTTGTTCGGCGTGAGGGAGATCGAAATCTAGAGAGAGCGGGAGCGAGCAGGGGGTGATCAGGGGATTCGATCGCACCAGAGAGAAAGTCGACGGGGGCGGGAGCGAGCGGAGGATGATCCAATCCTTCTGTCCGAGGCCAATTAGTATAGTCGAAGATTCTAGGGAGACGTTACACGAAAGCTTTGGCGGGGAATTAAATATTTCCTTGCGCAAAGGAGACTTAATTGGAAAATAATTAATCCTTAATTATATCTAATTATTGTGGGATTAAATGACATATTTGAAATTTGAAATTCGTGGGCTGAAATAATTAGTCTGTGATTAGCTCATATCCAGCCCAAGTCAAACTCGAGATGAACCTGGGTTGAGCCCGGGCCCACACCCGCTAATTAAAAAAAACATGCATCGATTTTTGTGTGATTTACTCGTGCGCAGAATCATAGTGATATGGGTGTCCTTTCTGGCTAAAGTCGACGTTCTGGAAGCGCCGACGTGATTCGTTTCGTCATCTGGGGTCGTCCGGACAAGTTTGCTGACTATCGGGCCAAAAATGTGTCAACTTCTTACGTGGTTTGGCGAGTGCGTGAAGTGCGACGTTTGCGAGTGTTCGAGTCATGGAGGTTTCACCTAAGACCGTATGATCCTGTAGGAACTCATTTTCTGGCCCTCTACATGTTGGTCCTTAGCTCTTGCAACTAGAAGTTGAGTGCTTGGAACCACTCATGCGAGTTCTTCACAAAAATGAATCAAAAAGTGGTTTGAAGTTCTATGGGAGGTGGGTTCCATTACTAGTCTACTAAGATGGTCAACCAGGAACTCCTAAGGCTAGATTTTGCGTTCTAGGAGCAGGAAACTAAGACCTCACAGAAACTGAGGTCAACACCCATTTTTAAGAATAAAGGGGATGCACAAGAGCATCAAATTATAGAGGAATTAAGTTAATGTGTCATACATTAATATTATGGTAGAATAATTGAACATAAGTTAAGACGTAGTACAAAGATTTCTCATAATCAATTTGGATTTATGTCGAGTAAGTTTACTATGAAAGCTAGAGTTTTGATGGAATAGTAGAGAGTAAGGAGAATCTATATAAGATTTTTATTGATTTAGAAAAAGCTTAGGATGAGGTTCCAAGGGAAGTTCTTTGGAGAGTTCTAGAGAAAAAGGTGTTGATATGATATACATTCAAGTCATTAAAGATATGTATACTAGAGCTGTTACATATGTTGTTACATATGTTAGAGCAGAAGGAGGATTGACCAATTATTTTTCTATTTCAGTTGGATTACATTAGGGATCAGCTTTAAGCCCACATCCTTTTGTTTTAGTTTTGGGTACTCATACTGGACATTTAGAGGAGGATGTAGAGTTCAGGAAAAACTTGAATAATGGATGTCTGCATTAGAGTTTAAAAGCTTTTGTTTGAGTAGATCTAAAATTGAATACATGGAGTGTAATTTTAGCAATAGTAGATCTAGTGGCAGAGTTGTACCTATGGGTGATCAAATCATTAAAAGGTGTGTGAACGTTTTAGATATCTCGGGTCTATTGTTCAAAGTGATGCTGATATGAATGGGGATTTTTTTAGTCGAATTCAAGTTGGTTGGTTGAAGTGAAGAAATGCATTGGGCCAACTGTGTGATAGAAATGTATCACTTTGACTTAAAAGGAAAATTTTATAAGATGGTGGTGAGATCTGCAATGTTTTATAACGCAGAATGTTGGCCTTTAAAAGAGAAGCATAGAGCTAAGTGTTACTGAGATGAGAATGTTTAGGTGGATGAGTAGGTTGACACTTAGAGACAAAATGCGAGACAGATGCATCATGAAAGGGTTGGTGCAACTCTAGTGGTAAATAAGATTAGAGAGAGTCGTCTTAGATGGCTTCGTCACATTAAACTTCGACCATCTGATGATCCAGTTAGAATAATAGATGTTTTAGATTCGACTTATGTTAGGAAAGGTAGAGGTAGACCTAAAAAAATTTAAGCATGTTGTATAAAAAATAATCTTATTTTATTAGAATTAAATGAAAATATGACATTCATTTAGCCAACCCCACTTAGTTGTTGTTGATGTTGTTATTTATTTATTTATTTATTTTCACATTGACTTTTTGCATTTATTTCCCTACCCATTGCCAAATGGAGTTTCTTCTGCTATTCCTGCATTCACAGTGGAACAACTTGAATGTATTGTCCGCATGTGATTGTGAGGGGAAAATAAGAGATGAGTGTCTGAAGGATGATTAGAGTTTGTTTAAGTAGAAGGCTCGTAGCTATTTTCTATAGTTTTTTGGTGTTAATAATTTTTGTGAAACTTTTAATATAATTATGGTTAATCTTCGTCTATCACATTGTTATTTTGAACCCATTTATATTGCAGAGACTATTGATAGTTCCGCCTGAACTAGCTTATGGCAGTAAAGGAGTTCAGGAGATTCCTCCTAATGCAACAATTGAGGTATAAAATATCATCTGATATCTATTTTAAGGCATAATTATTGAAGATTTTTAATTTTTTGGTTGGGATGAAAAAGCGAGATTGACTGTGAGGTAAAATACGTGCAATATCTATAGGAATTTGTGCAGAATACTTGAAAGAGTCTTGAAGTTTAGCAAAATTTGAAATTCCTGAAACGGTAAAAAATGGTGTCCTTTATTAGTTCATATAAAGCTACAATTTCCCACCATGAAAAGTGGGTCTATAAAAAATATTAGGAAAACCCTGCTTTAATCTGAATCAAAATAGAAATAAAAACCTATTTGGATCAATTAAACCTCTGAAACTGGCTAGTTAATATCACTTGTTGATGCATGGTTTATCTCTCTCACATTTATGTTAACAAAGAAATCAGCTAAGCTAGTTGGATAGGCATTTTCCCTATTCAATTCATGGAAATAATTTGGGTCAGATATCTTAATCCAAATTTAATTATGATGATTGTTATTAATTTACTTTGGGGGCATTTACATACATACTACACAATTCTTATGTATTTCTAACACCTAAAGTTTTTTGTTCACGCACATAACACTCTAATCTTTAATATGACCTCAAAAATACTATTACTACTACCTTTTTAAAAGTGAAGTATCCCTTTTTATGCATAGGTTCATGAACTTAAGGTGTTAGATATGTTTGCATGGTATGTAAATTTTTCTTACTTTGTTGGAGATGAGTGTAATGCACGGCTAATTAATCTCTTTTCAAAGTAAATCTAATGGCTATAGAATTCAACCTAATCGAATTTGAGTCAAAATATCCTGAGCAAACAAATTTTCTCAATCTATTACTAAATATAAAATAATTATTGTTAAGGTATGACTCATATACCATATAGGGACGGACGCTGGAACAAAGCGGAGCGAAAGAATCTGTCCAAATCGGGAAGTTACTTTATGTGGGTTGGGGGTGCGGGGGCAACGCCCCGCGGTACGACACAGATGTAATGTTGTAATTACATACTGTACTTAGGGTTTACTCCTAGAGTTATAAATAAGTCTGTTTGTAACCCCATGAGGTATCCCTAAATTCAATAACATTTTTCTGAATATTGAAAGGAATCGTCGTTCTGCTTCCGAGGACGTATGCATCTTTGCCGAACCTCGTTAAATCTTGGTGTTCTTCTGGATTTGTGTTGATTTCTATTTTTCTTTGCTCTAATTTCTCAACAAGTGGTATCATAGCGAGTATCGAGGGCTGGGATTAAAAATTTTGACGGCATGGGAGCAAAGATGATTTTGGCCGAGGAGTTCGGCGGCTAGGGCATGCGATTCAGCGAGTTCGAAGGAAGACGTTTGTTTTCGATTCTTCCGCGATTGGATCGGTTCTGGACGAAGCTTCGGACGGTTCAGCGCTTAGGAGTTCGGTGACGCAAGGTTTAGCGAAGGAGATTTGCGGCATGCTCGAGCAGTTTCGCAGAATCGCTCGAACTTGGATGTTGGAGCTCGCAGAGGAACAGGCACGGGAACTTGGACGTTGGAGCTCGCAGAGGAATAGGATCGCGAAAGGCAGACAGATCGGCTTCTCGCTGCAAGAATTCGCGGACCAGACTACTCTCGGAATCGCGGAAGGCGGGGTACGGGAATTTCCTTTGCTGCAGAAGGGATCGCAATTTGATTTTGCCATTTGTCCGGAAGGAACTTTTGAATTTCAATTAATTAAAGAAATTTTTTGAAATTCAATTAATTAAAGGAAATATTTGATTAAATATTTCAATCCTTCAAACAAAAATCTTTTGTTTTTTCTAGAAAACTTAATTAAGAGAATTTTTTAATCCTTCATTTTCTTTTTTAAAAAGATTCTGAACAAGGATTTGCAGAAGAATTTGTAGAAGTTTTTGTTGCATCATCAATTACAAATGACAATTTCTGGTGCAAAATTCGAGGTGGTGAAGTTCGATGGAACTGGTAACTTCGGATTATGGAAAACAAGAGTAAAAGATCTGTTGGCTCAACAGGAAATCTTGAAAGCTTTCCGGACAGCAAAATCGGATGTCATAGAGGATGAAGATTGGGAAGAACGACAACAACGAATGACAACAACTATACTTCTATGTCTGACAGATGAGGTTATGTATCACGTAATGAATCTAAAATCTCCAGGGGAGGTATGGAAGAAATTAGAAACTCAGTTTATAGTTAAATATCTGACGAATAAATTGTATCTGAAGCAAAAGCTGTATGGGCTGAAGATAGAAGAAGGTTCAGATCTGGTGCAAAATGTTAATGACTTCAATCAAGTAATCACAGATTTATCACGACTTGATGTGACTATTGAGGATGAAGACCGAGCAATAATTCTGTTGTGTTCACTGTCTTATTCCTATGAACACCTGATGACTACTCTTACATATGAGAAAGAAACTATCAAAGTTGATGATATTATTGCAGCATTGTTGGCTCACAACCAGTGGAAGCAGAATGCAAAGGAAAACTCTCATGACGACAGTTTATATGTTAAGAGTAAGCAGGATCGTAGAAGGAAGAAAGAGGAGGGTTCCAGAAGGCGAAATTCTAGATCCAAGTCCAAAGACAAAAAGACAATTCATTGCTACAATTGCAAAGAGTCAGATCATATGAAGAGAGATTATCCAAAGCTCAAGAAACAGATTGAGGAGAAAGGTGATGGATCATTGAAGTCTGTAAATGTGTTGCAGAGTGACAATTCAGATTGCAGTGACGGCGATATGCTTTCAGTTTCATCAACTCAGTTCACGGATGCATGGAATCTTGATTCAGGATGCTCTTATCACATAACACCTAACAGAGAGTGGGAGTGGTTTACTTCATACTGGTCAACTAATTCTGGCTCAGTTTATTTAGGTGATGATAGATGTTGCAATATTTTTGGTATTGCAGAAGTCAGAATTAAGATGTGATGACACAGTTAGAACATTATGTGGTGTCAGACATATTCGCGATCTGAAGAAGAATTTGATTTTCTTGAGCACTTTACATATAAATGGTTTCATTCGTAAGGTAAATAATGATATGTAAATCATCGTAAACCATCAGAATTGTTAAGGGTGCACTGATTGTGATGAAAGGAAAGTTAACTACAGGTAATATCTACAAATTGTTGGAGAGTACAGTTGTAAGTGGAGTACATTCTGTGGAGTCAGATGATGATAGTACAAAGCTATGACATATGCATATGAGTCATCTCAGTGAACGTGAGACGGTGGATTATCATAGAAGAAATCTGTTGCATGGTTTTAAAAGCTGCAAGCTCGATCTTTGTAGGTTTTGTGTTCTTGGAAAACATACTAGAGTCAGTTTTATGATTGAAAAACGTAAAACTAAAGGGATTCTTGATTATGTGCATTTTGATGTATGGAGCCCTACCAGGGAATCGTCATTGGGAGGATCTCAGTATTTTGTTTGATTTCTCTAGGAAAATTTGAGTGTATTTCTTGAAGAAAAAATCCGAAGTATTCTCTAAATTCAAGCTGTGGAAAGCTAAGGTGAAGAACCAAAATGACAGAAAAATCAAATATTTGAGATCTGATAATGACACAGAGTACACAAATTCGTAGTTTCAGAAGTTCTGTGAGGAGCATGAGATTCAGAGACATTTTTCAGTGTGCAAGACACTACAGCAGAATGTTGTGACAGAAGGGATGAACATGTCCTTAACTTAAAAGACAAGATGCTTGAGACTGAATGCAGAGTTTTCTAAGAGTATGGGCAGAGGCTGTGAATATGACATGTTATCTCATCAATAGATCACCTCGGGCATCGTTGGGTGGCAAAGTCGCAGAAGAGGTATGGACAGGTAATCCAGTTAGTTTCGATCATTTACGAATTTTTTGTTGTCCTGCTTATGTGCATGTACATGGAGATGAAAGATCAAAACTTGATGCAAAATCTAAAAAAGTACATCTTTTTGGGCTATAAAAAATGTGTGAAAGTATATAAATTTTGGGATCCGATTGCAAAGAAGATGGCGATCAGCAGAGATGCAGTTTTTTATGAACAATCCATGTTACAGTAGAATCAAGGCAAAGTGCAAGGGAATAGTTCCAATTCAGATGCAATGCAAATGGATTTAGAACATCATCCATAGACAATTGAGAGAGTTGAAGATTCAAATCTACACCTGGTGATTCTATTTCAGATAATCTGCAGAATTATAATCTAGCCAGAGACAGACAGAGACACACCAATATAAGACCTCCTAGCAGATTGGTTTATGAAGACTTGGCATCTTGTGCACTTCTCATCAGCAGCGATGATCAACCACTTTTGAAGGAGCTATCAGTAGCCAAGAGAAAAAGAAATGGATGGGTGCAATGGTTGAGGAGATGGAGTCTTTGCGGAAAAGTAAAATCGCACTTGGGAGCTAGTTAGCTAGTTCAGTTTCCTGAGGGAAAGAAGACTATTGGTTGCAAGTGAGTGTAGAAAAGGAAACCAACAGTATCAAAAAAAGAATGAGAAAAGTTCAATGCTCGACTGGTAGGAAAGGGATTTTCACAGCAGAAAGAGATAGATTATGATGAAATCTTTTCTCCTGTGGTCAAACATACTTCAATCAGGGCAATGCTTGCATTAGCAGTCATTTGGGATTCGCATTTGAAGCAGATGGATGTTAAAACTGCTTTCTTGCATGGTGATCTGGAAGAGCAGATTTTCATGGAGCAATCAGAAGGGTTCACTCAACCTAGATTGGAACATCTGGTTTGCAGGTTAAAGATTTGCAGGTTAAAGAAAACTGGTTTGCAGGTTAAAGAAAACGTTGTATGGGTTGAAACAGTCTCCAAGACAATGGTACAAACGGTTTGACTCCTACATGATTCAGATTTGCTACAAGGGATGTGAATATGATTGTTGTGTTTATGTGAAGAGCCTTGATGATCGTTCCATTATTTTTATGTTACTGTATGTTGATGATATATTGATTGCTGCAAAGAATATAAATGTTGTCTGTGGTTTGAAAGCCTTATTGAGTTAGGAATTTGA